CGAGACCGCTTGTTCAACGCCTCATGAGGACTCGATGGGCTTTACTTCTCGACGAAGCTAAAGGACTGTTTTTGCCTCGAGTCTCTCTCTAACAATGTGTCAGCATCACATTTAATGCATAGCAGGCACATCATGCCTCTAACCTCAATAGTCTTCATGACTCATCGGACCACGTGGGTCACCGTCTGCCACCGCTCACTTCTCGTTTAAAGCTGATGTGATCATTCCCCCACTTGCCAGTCGATACCTGTAAAGCAAGTGCTAACGCAGTTGTCAGCCCACACTTTGCCACCGCCTTCCTACAGTCGACCGAAGTGACCAATCTATCTTTATACCCTAAGTATAAATACAAGTATTATTCTGTCTTTACAGAGGACCGAAGATCTGATCCCTGATCCTGATTTTCTGGATTCTGACCTAAATTCTATAAAATTACAAATCATATTGCACACACACAAAAACTCACACGGTTATTATTTACCTTACTCAAGTTCATCGAGTAACTTGATCATCAGATGTACAAAGGGGGGAACCAAGCTCCATCCTCTCACGAATTTTTATATGTACAGATTTTTCAGATTCCCAACTCAAGAACCAGACATAAAGTCGGGGAAGAAAACAGCCTCTCATCAATCCTCAACAAACTCATCCAAACACGGATACATATTGACTATGTGATCACTACCATCAATTTCATGGACTATAACCCACGATTTTGTCACTTTTCATCTCTTTCGACCCAATGACAATTAATTAACATACTTCAAAATTCGCAATTTTTATGAATTATGATCTACGATTTTTATCCATTGACATATGTTTCGACCCAATGATAATTAAATTTTGTTACCATGAAATTCACCAGTATCATAGATTATACAACCCTTAATTTTTTTCATTTTCAAATCTATTGATTCAATGATAATTAATTGGTATACATGAAAAATCTCAACTTTTATGGGCAATAACCCACAATTTTTGTTCAATTTAATGTATTATAACCCAGAATTTTGTCCATATACATTTGTTTCGACCCAAAGATAATTTATTGACGTACTTCATAATTTGTAATTTTCA